TTGTGTCCTGCTTTTAATTGGATTGATGAGGACCAAAGGAATAAACATTTGTGAAAAAACTTTGACAAGTATAAATTCAGTATGTAAATAGTTGCCCTCAGGAATCATTATATCTAAGGTGCCCTTGAAGCTTTTTTAAAGAAAGAACCCTTTGTTGTATAACTAATTCTTGCTTAACCAAACTTTCTCATTGAGCTTGAATATTTTTCCATCTATCAGTTTGTAATTCTCCTATCCACTCCTTTATTCAAAGAAAGGGCTTGTAAAATGTGAGGTAGAAAAAGCTTCCTATTCTACCCATAAGGGCAATAAGAACAGATATAGTTTGCAAGATATTTTTCTCTGTGTAGCATGTATGATTTATTTTTTATTTACTGTGCTCTTTTCTACATTAGGTATATTGGTAAGTTTTTTATGTATTGGTATTTTATTTTAATACCTACATAAAATATGTTTTTTAATGAGCTACAGAAGTCAGAGTATTTTGGGTTTAGTGCCTATTATGTAAAAGCATGGAGCTGACTGAATTACTAACTTTATAGCAGAATTAATGTCTGGTTTGATACATATTTCCATCGTGTGATTTCTACAATTACCAGATTTATATACATATAAATATTTGAGAGCAGGGAATAAATTACATGTTTGTTCATTTTAAAGAGGGACAAAAATATTTACCCACTGAATATATGTATGTTATACAGGATTAAAATGGCAAAAAAAAAGTATATGCTTATAAGTTAATGTTATACATTAATTTCTGTTTACTCTTCCCCCTCTGCCTTATTGAATCTTAAAATTCTTCAAGGTTAAAGCCCCTTCCTCTCCACCAAACCTCTAAAACCACCAGCATTCATAAGCATTGCTATCCTTTGAACTCTTACTAAGGCCCATGATACACTAGGGTGAAAAGTATTTAGAAGGGTAACTCTTTATGAGTCTCTATGAGATTGTTGGATCATCCCTGACAATGAGTGTATATTCAAAATCCTTTTCACAGAAACTCACTGTTACTTCTGGAAAATACTCTCTGAATTTCAAGCAAGCAACTTACAAATGAAAATTTAAGATACAGATTATTTTTAAGGTTTTTTTAGATAATGTAAGTCTTTTATTTGTGAAAATTTACAGTAGATAATTGAAAGTAGTGAGTGTCCTAACAGTCTTGTAGACCGAAGGAAGCAGCCACTCCATTAGGAGCTATACTAATTGAAACTCAACGAGGCTTGATAAATGGCTCTTACAGCCAATTAAAGTGAGAAACTGCAGACAGAATGCATTAAATAATTTTATTATAAATAACTATATTATATCAAAAATTAAACATTTATTCACTATAAAAATAGTTTATAATTTCCACTGAACTTTAATAGAAATGAGAAACTATGATAATTAGCCTGTTTACCCAAACTGCCTATAAAGTCACCAGAATGATTTTTTATTGAAAATTACAACTATTGCCATAAATAAAGTATAATTACATATAAATTTATATCATAGAATTATGAATTATTCTAGATAAATATTGATACTAACAATTTCAAGGTACTCAAAAATTTTTATTTTTAAAAAAAGATAAATAAGGTTTTTCTATTCAAGTAAATGGCAGAATGCTTGTATGTAAACACACAGAAGTAAGATATTACAATGATCCAGCTCAGAATAGAGCCAAAGTGCTTAAAATATAGTTTTTCTTTTTCAACGCACATTTCTATTATACATTTTTTTAATTTTTTTTTATTTTAATCATTGTTCAACTACAGTTTTCTCCCTTTTACTCCCATTATTATTTTTTTAAGATTTTATTTATTTATTTTTAGAGAGGGAAGGGAGGGAGAGAGAGAGAGAAACATCAATGTGCAGATGCTGGGGGTCATGGCCTGAAACCTAGGCATGTACCCGGACTGGGAATCGAACCTGTGATACTTTAATAGCTACATATTCTGTCATAAAAATACCATATTTATTTAACTAGCCATACTTTGGGGACATTTAAGTTGTTTCCATTGTTGACAATTAAAAATATTATTATACTAGATATCCTGTAGTTAATCTTTGTTCAACTTCAAGAATGCTTCTTTAGGACAAACTCCTAGAAATGACATTGCTGCATCAAAGAGTAATCAGATTTTTGCATCTATGTTCATGAAGGATATCAGTTTATAATCTTCTTTTCTCTGATATCTTTATCAAATTTTTATGTCAAGGTTATTCTGGCCTCATAAAATAAATTGGGAAGGTCCAAGCTGGAAAACTAAGTTGGTTGGAATATCATCCCATACACCAAAAGGTTACGGGTTTGATCCCCAATCAGGGGACACACCTCAGTTGCAGATTTGATCCCTGTTGGGGTGTATATGGTAAAGCAATTGATGAATATTTCTCTTTCACATCAATGTTTCTCTCCTTCTCCCTCTCTCTCTAAAATCAATAAATAAGGATTTATTGTAAGTAAGGATTTACATGGCAAAAAATGGCAAAAGGATTTACAGGATTAAAATGGCAAAAAAAAGTATATGCTTATAAGTTAATGTTATACATTAATTTCTGTTTACTCTTCCCCCTCTGCCTTATTGAATCTTAAAATTCTTCAAGGTTAAAGCCCCTTCCTCTCCACCAAACCTCTAAAACCACCAGCATTCATAAGCATTGCTATCCTTTGAACTCTTACTAAGGCCCATGATACACCTAGGATGTGGATTAAGTAAGGATTTTTTTTTAAAAGGTTATAATAAATTAGGAAGTGTTCTCTCTGCTGTGTTCTGAAAGACTTTAGGTATGATTATATTTTTTCCTCCTTAAATATGTGGAAAAGTTCAACAGTGAAGACATCTGGCCTGGAGTTTTTTATTTTTTAATGTATTTCATTAATTATGCTATTATAGTTGTCCCGATTTTCCCTCTTTGTCCTCCTCCACCCAGTATCCCTCTTTCCCTCCAGCAAGCCCCACCTTTAGTTCATGTCCATGGGTCATGCATATAAGTTATCTGGCTCCTCCATTTCCTGCACTGTTCTTAACATCCTCATATCTATTTTGTACCCACCAATTTGTACTTTGATTCTAAATGATAGCCTTGCTTGGTAGAGTAATCTAGATTGTAAGTCCTTGTTTATCATTACTTGGAATACTTCTTTCCAGACCCTTCTAGCTGGCAAAGTTTCTTTTGATAAATTAGCTGACAGTCCTATGGGAACTCCTTTGTAGGTAATGATCTGGTTTTTTTTTTTTCCTGCTTTTAAGATTTTCTCTTTATCTTTAACCTTTGGTACTTTAATGATGATGTGTCTTGGTATCGTTGTCTTTGGGTCCATCTTGTTTGGAATGCTCTGTGCTTCCTGGACTTGTAGCTTTATTTCCTTCATCAAATTAGGGAAGTTTTCTTTTATTATTTTTTCAAACAAGTTTTCAATTTCTTGCTCTTTTCTCTTTTCCTTCCGGCACCCCTATGATTTGAATGAAGGCACATTTGAAGTTGTTCCAGATGCTCCTTACCCTATCCTTGTTTTTTTTGTTCTTTTTTCTTCTTTCTGTTATGATTGAGTGTTTTTTCTTCCTTATATTCCAAATCATTATTTTGATTCTTGGCTTCATCCTCTCTACTGTTGTTTCCCTGTAAATTGTTCTTTATTTCACTTAGTGTAAACTTCATTTCTGCCTGGGTCTTTGTTATGCTGTTGCAATACCCAATGAGTTCCTTGAGCATCCTAATATCCAGTCTTTAGAACTCTGCATCTGATAGATTGCTTATCTCCAGTTGTTTAGTTCTTTTTCTGGAGTTTTGTTCTGTTCTTTCATTGGGGCCATATTTCTTTGTCTCCTCAGTTTGGCAGCCTCCCTGTGTTTGTTTCTATGCATTAGGTAGAGCTGCTTTGACTCCCTTAGTAGTGTGGACTGTTGTAGAAAATCACACACATAAGCTGGATGGAGCACAGCCTTAGTTAATCACGAGGGTGGGACAACATATGTGAACTAGGTTGATGGAGTCTCCAATATGGTGTCACCACTCTGTGGCTCTGTGTGAGGGAAGGCTCAGAAAGGGGTTAATACCACTGCCTGGCCTCTGGAGTTTTGTCCAGGAGGAAACTACCCTCTGGCACTCACTCTGATGTCCTTTTTGGTTTCTCCCCATGTGCCACTGTTGCCCTTATAGCTGCTGGGCCCAAAGGAAGTGAGTCTGCATAAGTCCTAAGTCTGTTGTGGGCCCTTTAAGAGGAGGCTCCTGAGAATCCCACAGTTTCTTCTGCCACCCTAACCTCCAGTGGTTTTTACAAACAGAACTTATGGGCACTTATCTTCCTAGCACTGGAACCTGGGCTGGGTTGTCTGGTGTGGAGCTGGGATTCCTTACTCCCAAGATATCCCTCCTGATTTTTATCTACCACATGTGGTTTAGGACCACCAGCTTCACATCTCCATGTCTCTATGTCTCTGTATATCTCCACATCTACACACCCCCTGCCAGTCTGGGTGAATGTGACTTTTTTAATTCCTTGGTTGTCAGGCTTCCATATAGCTTGATTTTCTGACATTTGGGGTGATATTTGTTTTGTAGTTTAGTTGTAATTTTTGCTTTGGTTATTCAAGGAGGCAAGCCATGTTTACCATCTTGACTCTCATATTACATTCCTATAGTATACCAGGAACTATTTAATGTGCTTTACAAATATTAACTAATTCATGCCTCACAGCAACCCTATGAAGCTATATTTATGTTTAAGAAAACCAGAAGCTTAAATTCAGTAGCTCTTGGTCATGCATCTAATATATAGGAAATTAAGATTCACCAGGACAGCTGGTATGTCCAAAACCCATACTCCTAACCAAAGAGGAGTATTTTCATGGTGAAAATCCTGCTACATTTATTGCTTTGACTACCTTCATTTGCATCCTTTTTATTCATGTTCTTTTGCAAAATTTGAAAATTTGGGAAACAATCATTTCTGTGTAACCACTGTAGTTTTATGAACATTTAATTGTTATTATTATTATTTTTTGCAGTGGGATGCCATTACTGAAATGGATGAACATAATAGGCCCATTCACACATACCAGGTTTGCAATGTAATGGAACCTAACCAAAACAATTGGCTTCGTACAAACTGGATCTCCCGAGATGCAGCTCAGAAAATTTATGTGGAAATGAAGTTCACACTGAGGGATTGTAACAGCATCCCTTGGGTCTCAGGGACTTGCAAAGAAACCTTTAATCTGTATTATGTGGAATCAGATGAGTCCCATGGAACTAAATTCAAGCCAAGCCAATATACAAAGATTGATACAATTGCTGCAGATGAAAGTTTTACCCAGATGGATTTGGGTGATCGTATCCTCAAACTCAACACTGAAATTCGTGAGGTGGGGCCTATAGAAAGGAAAGGATTTTATCTGGCTTTTCAAGACATTGGGGCATGCATTGCCCTGGTCTCCGTCCGTGTTTTCTACAAAAAGTGCCCCTTCACTGTTCGCAACTTGGCCGTGTTCCCTGACACCATCCCAAGGGTGGACTCTTCCTCTTTGGTGGAAGTCAGGGGTGCTTGTGTGAAGAGTGCAGAAGAGCGTGACACTCCAAAACTGTATTGTGGAGCAGACGGGGATTGGCTGGTTCCTCTTGGAAGGTGCATCTGCAGCACCGGATATGAAGAAATTGAGGGTTCCTGCCATGGTAAGGAACAATAAAATAATTTACTAAACATTTAAATGATATTTTTAACTTTAGAACAGTATCTTTCACATTGTTATGATAATATAACTAGAGTTTTCAAAATAAAATGCTTTTTCTTTATGTGAATTATTTTGTAAAGCCTTATTAATCTAATAAATATATATATTTATAATTTTTACATATCTATTATAAAGATAATCTATATGAATTGTTTGGATTTAGGACTTATAATCAAAACAGCAATAGATAAATACAATTATTCATTGGTAAATAGTAACAAAGTGGAGATTTTTCCCTCGCAGTAAATTGTTTACAGGTTTGTTTTCTATAGCACTATATTGAATTTATTGACTTCTTTTCTATTTTCATACTCATTCAAAAGGGTAGGAGTAAATAATATACTTTTTATGGAGAAAAACATACTTTTATGTACATAAGGGTTATGGATAATATGTGTGAATATTTAAAGATTTTATACATTTATAAAACACTTGGTTTTTGAAAAGTTCACTAGCGCCTCCAATGATGATTATGTTGGTCATTTGAAAAAATTAATATTTGCATAAAAAGTCTGCCATATATTTTTGTGAAGTATGAGCCAATTCCCTCCAATATTTTAAAAAAATATGTCATTGAAGTTTATCAGTATATTGAAATCAAAAGTTTTATTCACTCATTACAAGGATTTATATAATGAAACAAAAATAAGTTGCACATGATCCTTTAGAGGAACTTTATAAAATATTTTATATTGGAAAAATTCTAAAGAACAATTCATATATATATATATATATATATATATATAAGTAACTGTTTAATGAGATTAAGAAGATAGTAAGAGCTTGGGTTAAACCTATTAGACATACTGTCCATGTAGTTTTACCATATTTTAAAATTGGAGAAGCTGGGCATTAATTGGTATAAATAAAGTTTTAAAGATATTTAAAGAATAGTTTTATAATATAATGATTTATGTGATTAGCTGTTATTAAATATTGGTAATTTTTCATGGCATTGGCCACAGAGTTATAGGTAGTGATAATTGCTGATGGTTAGATGGCTTTTACTTAGGATGTCCATTCTGTGTAATTATGTTCTTATATACATGCCTTAAAATTCCTTCCATTGTTTGGCAAAGTTGATTTTGAGCAAATGGTAATCATTATCAGCTTATCCAGAGCTACTCCTAGATTCATCTGTTTTTATAACTTGTTACCTTGGTTATAATTTATTTGATTGCAGAAATATGAGTAGATACAATGTATGCTCTTGATGCTTTGTTTCATCTTGCCCCTTTCCATCCTCTGATAATGTTTTTTTTATCCTATTGCCATCTATCAACAAGTTACCTCACAATCAAATCTCTGACTCACATATAATCTAAGTGTCAGATTAATTGGAATTTATATTAATAAACCAAACCTCAACTAGTAATATGACACCATAGGTATATATGATTTTCTTTTCTTTTAGTCTGCTCTGTTAGTCTGTTTAGTGTGCTCTGTTCTGAATGATTACTGTATATTATTTAAGTTACTGAAATTTAGAAAAAACCTGCTCTCTGTTAATCACTTTGGTAGTTGGTAGAGATAAATGTTAAGTATATGTTTTAGTTATCTATTGCTACTGAGACAATATATCCTAACACTTATTAGTATAAAACCAAATGATTCATTATTTCTCATGATTCAGCAGAGTAGTTCTTTTGCTTAATGCAGATTAAACAGAGGTCACTCTCACAGCTGTTTCCAGCTGGGAGCTTGACTGAAGTTGTGATGTTCGAGATGATCTTTCATCTTCAAAGGCCTTTCTCTAGATGACCTCTCATCATTAAAAATCTAGTCCAAGTTCTGTTACAGTACAGTGGCTGGCTTTAAGAAATAGATTGTCATATGGCCAGGTACTAAGTTAGTAAATGAGGGAACTACACAGGGATGAATACCTGGAAGTTTGCTTACAGTGAGCTACCAATGTGGTGGTATACTACAGTTCACTCTCTAGTTTCTCACGATCAACATTTCTCCTTCATGCACAAAACCCCCCCTCCCAAAGATTTATCCCACATGGCATTGTGTTTAAGTCCAGAAGATCATTGTTGAAATCAATTCCAGGTGTGAGTGAAGCTAAAGCATATCCTGACCTGGAGAACTAAGAACTAAAATGAAATGTATTGTTCCCCCCACACACACAACACACATGGGACAAGGACAAGATCCTTGGAAAAGAGTCTCCAATATCTAAAGGCAGGTATGCAGCAAACACCATTTCATTGTGATTCTGAAATTTGCATAGATGTTGTAAGGATCCACTACTGTAGAGCAGGGAGTGTTCTTTGATCAGCGCCCAGGTCTGCTCCCTAGGAATGGGTATCTGTGGCTCATAGTTTCATCACTTTGTCCTCTGAGTCAATCCATTTATTGGAAATGCCCATGTGCTAGTTGCCACTTTCAACAGCTGAGAAATGCTCTTAATTTGATCCATAACATTATGAAGTATTTTTTCTGTTTTCTGAATTATCACAGGCAGTATGACCCTTTGTTATCTCCCAATAGCAATTGTTTTACTTCTCTTCCATCCTCCCATCCTCCACTCATTCCAGCCTTTACAATCTGTTTAGTACCAAAGCAAATGCTACATGTTTAGTTGTTTTTTTTTTTTGCTATAGCAGCACCCCTTGTCTTATACAAATTATTTACTTACAATGTGTAAATACAAACTAGGTTTAGCTGTGTGGCCCTTCACTCTGCATATGGCTTCTCTCGTATATAGAATATTTGAGGCCCTAAGTTTGCTTACTGTGTAAATTCTGATAATAATTTTAATGAATTTCACTTTAGGAAATTATTCTAATTTTTCTTTCTTTCTGGGATAACCATTAAATGTAGTCATTCAGTATACCATTCAAAGGGCTTCACAATTTGAACTTGTCCTTTTCTGTTCTAAGTTTTGCAAATTTTTTTCCTATATTTTTATGCTTTTGAACAATCCAAGTATGTTTCATATGCCCTCCTTTTTTTCAATATCTTATCTCATTGATTTTTGTTTCTTTCTTTATCCTTTTTCTTTAATGGAATTTAATTCATTTTTAAAGTTCAGCATAAATGTCATATAAGTGGGTCTTCACAAAGTTAATCCCTCTCTCCTCTCTACTGTAATTTGTACTAATTATGTGTGTGTGTGTGTGTATTTCACCAGGGCTGTCAGGTGAAAGAGTTGGATTTAAAAAATCATATGTAGGGTACAATATTTATTGATGTGTATGATCACAAAGCGCTGATTACTAGGCTTTTCTGAGTAGAGATAGACAATACTGACATACCTGTGGTGTGCATGGCTTCTTCTCATTGCTTGAAATAGGAATGTTGTCTTCAGGAAGGGTTGTCGTGTTTTAGATTTAGAAAGCTTTAGAAAATATTTGTATTTCTTATTTTATGAATCAGAATGGTAAGTTACCAAGAATAGAATGTTATTGCCTGGGGCCACTTAGTAACTAATACTAGACTGAGGACTGAGCCTTGATTTTCCTCAACCTGGTCTTTGTGTGTTTTCCTTTTGCACTTTTTTTCCTTTTCCGCTTCCTCACTTCTTCCTTTCTTTCTCTTTAATTTCCTCATTCCAAGCATCCGTGCCCTTACCTTGATGTTTTCCTGCCTGCCAAGCAGTAGAGAGGACCCCTAAATTGCTGATCATTAAAATTTGGCCCTTTGCACTATGTTCATTTTCTGGAATCTGATATGGACACTGCTAGAACAACACCACATCCACCCTGAAATTCAGGGTATTGAGAATGGTGGAGAATTATATAGATTTATCTGGATCTTTGCTTTGAGAAATGATAAAACAGGAAAATTATGAGGTTATAGGGGTTTTTATAATTTATTTGAATGGATTTGATAATCTTGGTCTGCTGTGTAACAAAAACACAATAAGCTGGTTTAAAATAGAGTAAATTTATATTTACCCAGACTATCAATATCAAATTAATGATGTATATTTTGTTTACATTGAAATAATTTATTATATTTAAACTTAAACACTGTACTACTTAATGTTTGAACATGTTATTCCCTTCTCTATAACATTGTTAATGTATATCTATTTCAAATTTTAGAATCACAAAAGAGAGAAACATTCTTATTGTTATAAGTCAAGTTTAATTAGATATAAAAATTATGTTAAACAGACAAGCTAAAATTTAAAACCAAACACAATAATTTAGATTATTCTATTAAACATAGTAAATAGCATTTTTTGGCTCAAATCTCAACTCATTTTACATAGCTATTTTTATTTTATTTCATACTTTCATAATTAAAACTACCATACTTAGGCAGATTGATGTTAAAGACTTAATTTTTATCTTAATTTACTTCACTAAGGCTTTGAATTAAAAAATAACATTGATTCATATCATCAAATAGTCTTTCATTTCTATCAAATAGTCTTTCATTTCAAATAATCTTTCATTTCATATATTTAATAACATTTTAACACTATGGGACAAATCATTGGAAGAAATAATTGGAAATAATTAACATGCAATATTGAATGTAATTTTTGTTTATTTGGGAGTGTTGAAGTGACATGAATCCCTAATAAACTCCTCTTGGATAGTAATTTGGAATAAATTTGATTAAAGAATGGCATCTGTACTTAGAGATATTAGTTAAAGTTTAGGATTTTAGACCTAATAGCAGACTATATATCAATATCTATACCTATACCTATATCGATATACATATAGATGTACCTATACCTACATCTATATGTATATCTATATCTATCTCTCTATGTCAAGGATACATTCTTTAAGCCCCTAAGTATCATATGATACAGTTCAACAAAATAACATTTGGCTATGGAAATTAAAGTTCTGAAACATTGAAAATTTTTAAAAAACTTTTCCTCTTTCTAGTTTCATGTTTGTATTTTTTTCTTTTTCCCTCTAGTGCTACTTTAAAATTCAGGGGGAAAAGATGGTGGCAATTCTGGCACCATTG